CTACAACCTCGAAGACTTTCCTAAAAAACGTCAGCAGATTTGTTAGACAAGATTTTCCCTTTGTAAACCCTTGTTGAGAGTCGTAGATTAATTAGCTTTTCTCTAAATGCGATCGGATGTTATCTGCTATAATTGATTCAAGAAATTTCCCCACTACTGACGTCAAACTGATCGGCCGGTAATTTAACGCTGATGCTCTGTCTCCCTTTTTGAATATGGGAATTACTACATCATCAGGCCCCTCGTAACACCATCTGTGAGGGAATTATTACACCATATCAGGCCCCTCGTAACACCATCTGTATGTTCACTGTATGTTCCTTCACCTTTCTCTAATGAAGGCTTTTGTTAAACCACCAATATATGTAATAAGTCATTTATGTCGTCCAATATATATTTTCAGCCTTCGGGCAGCAAACTTTTTCAATAAACCTTTTATTATTATTATTATTATTATTATTATTATTATTATTATTATTATTATTATTATTATTATTATTTACACACACACACACACACACACACACACACCATCGTTAATACACACACACATACACACACACACACACACCATCGACCCTCCAAATATATACCAACATATATTATTATCTTTTAAATGGAATAATTATATCTCTGTATATATGTAAATCTTCCTTTAGGTGCTCTATATACCTCATTATATATGCAGCTATATGCGTGTTAATATTGTCATTTTTTTAATAGCTTGTAACAATAATCCTGAAATATTGCCTGGGTTATAAATTTACTGTAATATTTTTTATATGTTTTTCATTTATTTTTTTGTAGTTATATTTTGTATTGTATTTATATGTAATTAAGTATATTCTCCTATATACTGTATTTTGATGTATGATTTATTAATATTTTTCGACTGTATTGTTTTGTATTTGTATTATTATTCAACTACGTATTGTATTTCGTTTTATGATTTATTTTAATAATTTTTTAATTTTTTATTAATTTTTTTGCGAAAGTTTGTTAAAAGTTTGTTAAGTGAATAAAATGTGATTTTTGCTAGACAGACAGACAGACAGATAGATAGACAGACAGATAGACAGACAAAGAGACAGACAGACAGACAGAGAGACAGACAGACAGACAAAGAGACAGACAGACAGACAGACAAAGAGACAGACAGACAAAACAAAGAGATAAATAAACAATAAAAAAGAGATAATGAAAAACAGAAAACACGCGAGACAAAGAGAGAGAATGGGAGATAGTAAGAATAACAAAGAGTATAATGAATAAGAGATACATAGCAGACCGGGGAATACAGGCCGAGCGATACAGGAATTACAGGAAAGTATTACACTACAGCCACTATTGTTATGGAGATTTATCTGTACTCGCTGAAACTGTACCTGTGTGTGGGGGTTATATATTACAGTACAGTAAAGTCAAGAATATTACACGTGTTCGGATGATAATGTTTACAACTTTTATTGGCCACTCAGAGAGCTTTTTTTGATTGTTTGGCCACTCAGAGAGCTTTTTTAAGTAGTTTAGCCACTCAGGGATCTTTTTTTAATTCATAGGCAACTTATTATTTTGTTTTCCCACCTTATCTACCCCTCCTTTCGTCTCTACCACCCCTTCCCCCTTCCCTCCCTACCACTCTCCTCCCTCTTTCCCTCCACACCACCCCCATATCCCTTCCCTCCTACCACCCTCCCTCCTTGCCTCCTACCAACCTCTCCCCTTTCCCTCCCCACCAACCCCTCCCCCTTTCCTCCTTACCACCCCCTCCCCCTTTCCCTCCCTACCACCACCTCCTCCTTTCCCCTCTTGGTGCTAACAAGACAAACATTATATTGTGATGACTTACTGGTGAGAGAGAGAGAGAGAGAGAGAGAGACTTCCGGTTTCCTCACCTCAACAACTTAATGTTTTCTCTACAATATTTCCCAAAGTCTTAATAAATCCTTTACCTTCAGTGTGATTTATTTTTTCTGTAGATTTTGTTTATTTAATTTATGTTTATTTTTGTGTATATCGTTGTTGTATTAGTACTATATAGTTTGGGTTTCTCTAAATTTTGGATCAATTATTCGGTTTATTTTTTCTAGTGTAGTTTATTTTAGTTTATTTTCAATGTATTTATTAACTGTTACTTGTTTTAGGTCGATAAAATAAGTTGGTATATTTATTTCTCATCAAATATGTTCGTAAATTAATTGTTTCCTTTAGTCCGATTTATTTTAATTTATATTTTTGTGTTTTTTATTTGATTTTATTTATGTCTTAATAATCCACGAGTTCCTCTGTGAGGGTCCTTGCGTCACTCACCGGCCACTCAGAGTACAATTTCACGAAAATTCACTGGCCAGTCAGCGAGCACTTTAACTTTTATTATCTGGCCACTCAGAGAGCATTTTCAAGTTCAGCGGCCCCTCAGAGAGCATTTTCAAGTTCAGCGGCCCCTCAGAGAGCATTTTCAAGTTCAGCGGCCCCTCAGAGAGCATTTTCAAGTTCAGCGGCCCCTCAGAGAGCATTTTATTTTCAGTTCAGCGCCTCAGAGCGTTTCAAGTTCAGCGGTCCCTCAGAGAGCATTTTCAAGTTCAGCGGCCCTCAGAGAGAGCATTTTCGTCAGTTCAGCGGCCCCTCGAGAGCATTTTTCAAGTTCAGCGGCCCCTCAGAGAGCATTTTCAAGTTCAGCGGCCCCTCAGAGAGCATTTTCAAGTTCAGCGGCCTCTCAGAGAGCATTTTCAAGTTCAGCAGCCCTTCAGAGAGCATTTTCAAGTTCAGCGGCCCCTCAGAGAGCATTTTCAAGTTCAGCAGCCCCTCAGAGAGCATTTTCAAGTTCAGCAGCCCCTCAGAGAGCATTGTTCCTCGGTGTAGCTCAATATAAGACATATCTTTATAAGGTAACAACATGAAGGAGGTGGTCAGTGGAATACCTTAACTCACTCCTCTCTTATCCTTCCTTCCTTCCTTCCTTCCTTCCTTCATTCATTCTTTCGTCTCTTTCATTCATTCATCCATTCTTGTTTTCGTTTCTTCCTTCCTTATTTACTAACGTCCTTCCCTTTTTGTAGAGGAAGAAGGAATGAAAGAAAATTAGAGAAGGAAGGAATGAAGGAAGAAAGGAAGGAAGGAAGGAAGGAATCCAATAGTAAGGAAATGGAAGAAATTTAGGAGGAGGTAGTTCCTTCCTTCTTTCTTCCTTCCTTCCTTCCCTCCCTCCCTCCCACACACAGTTAAAAATTACGTAAACAACAACAACAACAACAAAATGCGGCCACCAGAAAGAGTTTTGGGAGATAGTTTTCACCCTAGAGACATTCTCCTGTTTACCGAGAGACAATGAGATAACGTTTGTTTTTTTAACCTCTGTCTTTTTTGGTCAATTACTTAAAAGTCTCTCTCTCTCTTTCTCTCTCTCTCTCTCTCTCTCTCTCTCTCTCTCTCTCTCTCTCTCTCTCTCTCTCTCTCTCTCTCTCTCTCTCTCTCTCTCTCTCTCTCTCTCTCTCTCTCTCCTTCGTATGAGAGAGAGAGACATTTTGAGATAATTCACAGGAGAAGGGAGAGAGAAAGAGAGAGAGAGAGAGAGAGACCTTTTGAGATAATTTTGAGATAATTCGTAAGTATCTCTTATAAGGATGAGAGAGAGAGAGACGAGGTAGAGACTGTTAAAAGTGGTTGTCTCTCTTGGTCTCTTCCCGACTTTTATTGAGATGTTGAGAGACTTTTTTCCTTCTACTCTCCGGTCAGTATTCAAAGGAGATGAATTTCCCTGACTTGTTCCCGACTTATATCCCTGAATTATTTTCCCCGACTTGTTCCCGACTTATTTCCCTGAACTATTTTACCCAACTTGTTACCGACTTATTTCCCTGAATTATTTTCCCCGATTTGTTCCCGACTTATTTCCCTGAATTATTTTCCCCGACTTGTTCCCGACATATTTCCATGAATTAATTTCCCTACTTGCTGTATTTCCCCGATTTAATTCCCCTGGCTTATTTTCCCGATTTGTTCCCGACTTATTTCCCCCTGACAAATTAATACGTAGATAGATAAACTAACAGACAGACAGACAAACCTGTGCATATATCTCTTTTATTATCCCTGTCTCTCTCATGCCCTTCTTTATCACCTCGTTATTGTGTTAGTTTGTTTCTCCTTCTCCACATTTATCGGTCCTGTGTATTCTCTTTTTGTTATTTTCGTCTTTCTCTCTCTATGTCCTTCTTCACAACATGCTCTTGGTGATGATGGGTACATACATACATACATACATACATACATACATACATACATATACATATACATACATACATACATACATACATACATACATATACATACATACATACATACATACATACATACATAGAAGAGAGAGAGTACCTCGCCATAATAAGGCCAGGACACACACACACACACACACACACACACACACACACAACAGCAACATGTTTTACTGTCACCAGGGACAACACGAGAGAGGTAAACTAGTGTACTGTATATTACCTGACCTGAACTATCTTAACCTAACCTAACTTATTTGTGGACCAGTAACACCGGGGCTGGGACCAGGCTGGCCAGGGGCTGGACCGGGCTTTCCATGGGCTGGACTGGGCTGGCCAGGGGCTGGACCGGGCTTTCCTGGGCTGGACTGGGCTGGACCAGGGGATGGACTGGCTTTCCATGGGCTGGACCGGGCTGGCCAGAGGCTGGACCGGGCTGGCCAGGGGATGGACCGGGCTTTCCATGGGCTGGACCGGGCTGACCAGAGGCTGGACCGGGCTGGCCAGGGGCCGGACCGGGCTTTCCATGGGCTGGACCGGGCTGGCCAGAGGCTGGACCGGGCTGGCCAGGGGCTGGACCGGGCTTTCCATGGGCTGGACCGGGCTTTCCATGGGCTGGAGCGGGCTGGCCAGAGGCTGGACCGGGCTGGCCGGGTGTGCGCGGGACAGCACCAGGTACCAGGAAGCAGCGGCCGGGATGTTCTCTCCGCTAGTGGTCCAGGAGTCGCGGCAGCCTCCACACGCCTCCGCGCCCTCTACAGCCCGCCACGCGCCCCACACGCCTCCCGGCACACTTGTGGACGCTGCGGCTGAGGCTACCTGTGGCTTCCTGTCTACACCTGTACACACACACCTGTCTCAGATAGATGTTGACCATAACACGAGGAAAAGTTATACATTGATACTGTTTGTATTGGTAACAGACAAGAGCTGTAGATAGCCCTGATGATACCCCTGTAACACAGCGTTACTACCAGAAGTGACTAACACACACTCATTGTAACGTCTTCCTTACATGTGCACTACCCCCCCACGCCCACTAACCTCTCCAAATTGTTCCGTTACCTGTTACTTACCCTAACCTTGCTGCAGCTCCGTTATGAGTGACTTGTTGTAACACCTCAATGATCTTGTGTTACGTTGTGTTACCAGTGACTTGTGTGTGACGTAAGTAACTTTGTGTTACATCTTGGTACGTGTGTCTGGTGTGCTGTGAGTGTTACTGTGTGACAACTTCTCACTACTTGTACCAGCTGTATGACGATTACTTAAACCAGACGGGAACTTGGTCAATTAGAGTTACAGTTTAAACCTTCTAAAACCATGTTATTAAAACTCGAAAACCGATATTAAACCAAGACAGAAGAAACAATTATATACACTGATTAAACAGGTATGAACAGGTGTGAGAGAAACCCAAACACCTGTAATGGCTAAAACACCTGTAATGAGTGTATCAGCAGAATAAACTCTATGGCTCGTGTAGGCGATATAACCCAGCAACTCGTAAAAAAAATTATAAACAAGTATAAGTTTATGGGTAAAATAAGTTATATTAATAACTTATAAACACTTGAATTAAGAAAAAGGAAAGTTGAAGGTTCATCTAAGAGGATAAAAGTTAGGCACTCAAGCCATAACAGTGCCAACACCTGGTGCCAGTCTTGCTGTAACAGTTGTAGTGTCTTCCAGTGTTGTAGATATTTGGCCAACAGTTCTACAGCAACTCTGTCGCCCTAACCAAGCAGCAGGGAGAAGCGGTAGAGACAAGACTATCTCAAGCAACAGCAACACACAGCAAGATAATTTGATGTTAGTTATAAGAAGCAGCAGGGTGTAGTGAGGAACAGCAGGGTGTAGTGAGGAACAGCAGGGTGTAGCGAAGAACAGCAGGGTGTGCGGGGTGTAGCAGCAAGTACAGCGGTGTGGGGTGACTATAACAGCGAGTAACAGCGACAGAGAGAACAGCAGTAACAGCACCAGCGTCAACAACACCGTGTAGTAGCCGCAGTAACTGAGGCAGCTTGTGGTCAAGTAAATAAACAAACATCAGCTGATTGAAGACAGGTGTGACGATGTAAACAAAAGGTAAAGTAAACACTGGGACACTTTTTCTCCACGCCCATCACCCCGCTCACCACCCACCGCTCACCACCCACCGCTCACCCATCACCCAACCACTCTTCCTGACCCACCCACTGGCAACAGGTGAGTGATCAACCTCTGACGCCTGTGTTTGAGACGGTGAGAGTGGGGTGGGGGGGGAGGGGGGGGGGGAAGTCACCTTGGACACGCCCCTCTATGCATGACAGACCAAACACACCTGCCTAATTAGGAGTAGCATAGCGTTAATTGGCTATCTGACAATTAATGACGTCAGTGATCGAGGGACCCAATATTAGTATTTGTATCTCTGTTTCGTGTAATGATTTCAGGAATTAATGAACCGTTTGTAGATGAAACTTTATATTAGATCACAGGGAACTATCTTATATAATGTGATGAAAGTTTAATTACCGTGACCTCACATTCAAGGTCACGAAAGGTCAAATATTACCCAAAGTGACATCCATTAACACGTCTTGCCATTATTTTCTGGTGTGAAGTGAATGTATCTGGTTATGGTAGAGTCTCAGCCCAATTCTCATGCCATTTTGTTGAACTATAGATACCTCAACTATTACCCGTAGTTAGTGTTAAGTGAACGTCTCCACTGAAGATGTAGTCACAGTGTAATCTTCACGCCATATTGAATGCTAATGACTTTAACTATGCCCCATGATTCTGGCTAAGGTCAATTCTTTCTTAACAGGTAGAGTCTCGGTGTAATTTTAGAATCATTTTGAATCTCGGTGTTTAAGCTTAAGTGAGTCGTTTAGGTTTGATCTTAAGTCCAGAATTACGAGACCTTGGCGCTACATGACCTGGTGAACTATTACACAGGTGAGTTAGTCCACACGTAGGAGGCTTCAGTAATACGGTCTGATGTGTTGTGTGTTTATTTATCGCTGACAGTAACACTATACCGAGTGGCTCTCTCTCTCTCAGGCGGTCATCTGTGTTGATTGTGTTGTGTACTTTGGTTTTAGTGTGTCCTGACCTAACCTGACCTGATTTGACCTAACCTAACCTGACCTGACCTAACCTAATCTTACCTGACCTAAAATAATCTAACCTAACCTAAACTAACCTGACCTAACCTAACCTAACTGGAATCTGACCTAATCTAACATAACAATACCTAACCTAACTCTATCCTAACCTAACCTTATCTAATCTAACGAAAACTAAACGATTATTATTATTATTTTGTTATTATTATTTTTATTATTATTATTATTAGTAGTAGTAGTAGTATTGGTATTATTATTATTATTATTATTATTATTATTATTATTATTATTATTATTATTATTATTATTATTATTGCTGTTGTTGTTGTTGTTGCAGTTGTTGCTGTTGTTGCTGCTGTTGTTGTTGTTGTTGCAGTTGTTGTTGTTGCTGCTGCTGTTGTTGTTGTTGTTGTTGTTGTTGTTGTTGTTGTTCTCACCCTGTGTGTTAGGAAGGCCATCCAGCAATAAAACTTTACTTCAACACACAGTACCTGATGCCAACTGAGTCTACTGAACGATGCCCATCTTCTGGTCACCGCTGCACCTTCCTGGCTGGTGCCCTGTAGAGGGGAGGTAAGGGGGGGTGGGGAGGGGAGGTGGTGGGGGAGGGAGGGCAGGGGTGGGGAGGGGAGGTAAGTGGTGTGGGGAGGGAGGTAGGGGTGGGGAGGGGAGGTATGGTGGGTGGGGAGGGAGGAAGGATTTCATTCTGATTTTACTCAACAGCTGGTATCAGGTTAGCGTGGAAAATGTCCGTATGATGATAATGATGATGATCATTCCTGATATTTACTCATTAATAATCAGGGTGGGGTGTTGGGGAGGGAGGAAGGATTTCATTCTGATTTTACTCAACAGCTGGTATCAGGTTAGCGTGGAAAATGTCCGTATGATGATAATGATGATGATGATGGTGATGATGATGATGGTGATGATGGTGATGATGATGGTGATGATGATGATGATGGTATTATACATTAACCTAATTATACCTCTATTATACCTCTTGAGTATAATTCAGTATGTTTGTCATTGTATTTTCTATTAATAATCGTATAATTCATTAGTTTGTGTATGTATGTATGTATGTATGTATGTATGTATGTATGTACGTATAGTATGTATGTATGTACGAGGGTCAGTAATTGAACACCATTGACCTTCATCCAACCAGCATTAATTAACGTGATTTTCCTGTGTGTCGTATATACCTGCCTACACTGAGCTACTTAGTATAATCAGTCTTGCTACACTGATGTGGGTGTTAGGTGAGGCTTATAACACTGTCCTCTCTCTCTCTCTCTCTCTCCTCTCTCTCTCTCTCTCTCTCTCTCTCTCTCTCTCTCTCTCTCTCTCTCTCTCTCTCTCTCTCTCTCTCTCATTAAATAATAAAAACTTCAAAAAAAAATCATCCATATATTATTTATTCATGAAACCGATAATTAATTTTTCCCTCACATGCATTTCTAATTTTAAAATCGTATACACACAAAAAAATAAATCGGGCTTCCATTCTTTTTTTTTTCTGGGGAGGGGGAGGGAGGAGGAGAGGGAGGGTGGAGGAGGGAGGAGAACAGGAGGAGGAGAGGAGGAAAACGGGAGGAGAAACTGGGAGGAGGAGGAAGAGGGAGAGGGAGGAGGAAAGGAAGGAGGAAGCCATCATAAATCAGGTTCATATTTGATTATTAATGGTGAAATTTTGTTCTTATCTGTTGTGTATGGGTGATGGGTGACGTGATGGGGGTGGGTGGGTGGGTGACGTGATGGGGGTGGAGTGGAGTGGGGTGGGATGGGGTTGGAATGGGTGGGGGTGGGATGGGGGTAGAGTAGGTGGGTTTAGTTATATTGGGTAACAGTTTTCATGGGTAATAGTTTTAATGGGGTTGTTTCTAATGCGTTTGCACTAGTTTCGATAGCCGCCCATTTTTAATAGGATCAAGCTTAGTTTAATGGGGGTGTAGAGTTCAGGTGTAATGGGTATCAGTTTGAATTAGGCTAAGGTGTAATGGGTTTTATTTTAATCCAATTTGTAATGGGTCCCAGTTCTAATGGGTTCTATTACAAAATGGTCTAAGCTATTGAGGTCCGTTCGTAATGGTTAGGTTAAGTTAGGTTGGGGCTTACTAGGATAGGAGCCAAGTAGTACATGCCCTAGTAGTACAGGGGCTAGTAGAAAAGTGGTTTACTATGACAGCGGTTAAATAGGACAGGAACCTATTAGGACTGGCGCCTATTAGAACTAGCAGAGCGTTTATTAGCAATAAGATGAATTCACCATGCAACAAAAACATACATCCCAAGTTGATTGTGTGTGTGTGTGTGTGTGTGTGTGTGTGTGTGTGTGTGTGTGTGTGTGTGTGTGTGTTTCACTTTTAAATTAATAACGCTCAAGATAATTTACACTGTCACCTTAAAACAAAAATCAAATAAATTAAAACGATAAATGCTGCAACTCGGTATTTTTTTATTTTTTTATTTTTTTTTATAATTTTCTCTCTCTTTTTGTTCTTTTCTGAAATGTTTAAGAGAAAATTCTAGAACTTATTGTACCGTACTGGCGGGTCTATATATGTAATAACACAACGTTAACACACATGTTTATTGTTCTACGATATGTGATAATTCTCTGAATATAATTACTCTATAGCATTATTTTGACACTACTGGGATCTATATTACTGTAAAATAACCCTAATAACACCCGTATGTAAAGATGGATTTCAATTGTTTACGTTTTGAGAGTGACGTCATCAGTTGAGATACGCGCGCAATATATATATATCCGTAGAGAGAAAAAGTTGTAATGATTTATAGTGTTTCTGTTTTGTTTAATGTGTCACCGATAACATTCTTCTTCTTGTTCAGTTTGGGAAGTGAAGGTGATCGAGTACAGTGTCGTTAAGATGCCTCACTGGGTACTGGAAGCTGAGAGTATAGTTTGCTGCATCTACATTGTATCACCTGGTAGTAGTAATAGCAGTAGTAGTGTGAAAGTATTAGTAGTAGTAGTAGTAGTAGTAGTAGCAGTAGCACAAAGAAAATGCGGCAGCAATGAAGAGAAGATTGGCAATGTGGCAGACTGGGGCCCTTGATGATCTCCTATGCGAAGCAAAAACACACTATGTTACCAATAAGGGCAAGTGGTTTCAGTCTCAATAAACAAGAATTTACAGATGCCACTGCTCTAAGGTATGGTTGGCCAGTAGGTTTGCCCTCCCAATGTGTGTGTGTGGCTCTACCTATGACGTCGATCACGCCATGGTGTGCAAGAAAGGTGGCTTCATCTGCATGAGGCATGACGAAGTAAGGGATCTTACAGCAATATGTTGAAGGAAACATAGGACTTCAAACACATCCAACGAAGCCCGTGTGGACGTCAGTGCTCGAGGATTCTGGACGCCGGGACAGCAAGCCTTCTTCGACATCAGGATTTTTTATCCCATGGCCGCATGTCACCGTAACTTAGCTCTCAGTGCGGCACACAGTAGGAACGAGAACGAGAAGATAAGGGCATACGGGGAGAGAATTCAGAACGTTGAACAAGGCAGCTTCACTCCTCTATTGTTCACAACCTCTGCGGGGATAGGACCAAGTGCAAGATGTTTCTAGGTGATCTCTGAACAGAAGCAGCAGCCCAGAAGCTTCGTTACAGCCTGGATGAGATGTCGACTGTCTTTCTCCTGTCGGCTTTGCTCTGCCTCAGGGGAACGAGGGTTTCTGCCCCAAAGCCGACAACAGCTGCAGATATTAACTATGAGGCTACAGTCACTGAATGCCACATAGACCTGCGGCTCAACTAATTCAACACAGATAGGATTGCTACTTATGTATTAGGATATTTATTATTAAGATAATAAAATGGCGGCGAAGGTGTGGCTAATGGGGGAGGCTAGAGGCCACGTTAAGAAAAAAAAGTAGTGGTAGTAGTAGTAGTAGTCATAGTAGTAGTAGTAGCAGTAGTAATAGTATATTTTTTTA